TAAGTTACTTAAAGCGTCCTTATATCTAAAGTATATAAGATAGTTATAAGCGTTAATATAGCTTACGCCCTATTTATAACTATTATAATAGTTACTTAAAAGCTTAATATCTTATTAATCCTAACTATTAACATATATAATAAGCAAGCGCGCTAGACAAGCAAGCGCGCTACTAAACTATAACTATCTAACTATTTAACTTTTCCCTTTTATTCCTCTACTAATAACAATAAAATTAACTTATAATAAAGCCTAGGTATAGCTAGCTATCTAAGCGTATAAAAAAGATCTAAAACTTAGTATTTAAGCTATAGTAAAGATATATAACGTTAGTTATAATTTAGTAACGTGTTAATTAAAAAGTATACTATTATAACGTAATATTATGCCTAACTTATAGAATTTAATAGAACTTAAAGAGAGGAAGCTAGTTAAGTTTATTCTTAACCTAGATTCCTAATTATTTCCTTTTTACCTTAGTAGTGTTAAAGAAATAGCTAATTAACTACTTACTAACTATAATACGCCTCTAGTTAGTAAGCGCTAGGCCTTAAACTTTATTAAATAAACACTAGAGCTCTAAATACGTTTTTTTTATAAGTATAACTATAAGAGGGCTTAATATAAAGATCTAGACGTAATAAACGTATAGTTTTACTTTATAGTAAATATAATTATAAAATATAGTATTATAAAGTCTAATATTTATAACTTTAATAAGACTAGCTTTATAATAAGCTAGATTATATTTAGAATAGTTATTATAAGCTTTAAAAGACGTTTAAATATAAAAATAGTATAGCCTAGAAATTAAGAATAAGTTATAGTTATTTAGGCTATTAGTTTGTTTAGTTATAGCGTCTTACTATATATTATTATTAAAGGTAAAAATCTTTTTTCTACTTAGTATATAGAATCTAGTCTTTTACCTAACTAGGTTATTATAATATCTAAAAATAGATAAATAATAAGTAAAAAAGGCCTTAATTAGCTTTAGTACTTTAATTAATATTTAAAGTTATATATAAAAAAGAAATATTACCTTCTTATTATTAATAGGTATAAAAGTTACTATTTTATAGACTTTAAGCTATATTATAAAGAAAATAATATTATTACTTTTTATATACTACCTTATTTATCTTATTTACTTTAGCCCTTAGATATTAGGTGTTTTAGGCCTTTAAAGCTAGCGTATAGTTAAGAAATTAAGGATAAGATATAATAAGGTAATACCTATATTATAAAAGATAACTTCTTTTTAGTATTTTATAACGCCTTTAAGTAAGCTTTTATAAAAGTAAATATTTAAAGAGGCTTTAGAGAGGTAAGGCTTATCCCTCTAAGTCTAGAAAGTATGCTATTAAAGCTAGATATTAAGTTATACACTCTAACACCTCTAGGATCCCTTCTAATAACACTACTAGCTTAGACTTCTTAGACACTATATAATATAATAAAGATATCTTCTTAAAGAACTCTTATTAAGGATTACTTTATTAATTATCTAGATAGCTCCTTAATATATAGATTAATAGCTACTAAGTATATTCTTAAAGAAGCGTTAGGAATTATATATAAGAATACTTTATTAAAGGCTAAAGTTAAAACCCTTTATAAGGAGAATAACCTACTTAACTAATATAAAAAGGTAAAAAAAACTTATCTAAAGTAAGGAGGAAGTCTTAGTGTAGCTAATATATAAGATATTTAGTTATAAAGAGAGGTAATAACCTAGATTAAGGAGAAAACATATTAAAGTAGTAGTTATAGATTAAGGATAGAAACAGGTAAATAGTAGTATAGTACCTATAGGAACGCTAGATATAATATATAAACATACTAGTTTAATAAAGAAATATCTAAAGAATAGGATTCTAAGTAGTTTAAATTAATTTTATTATTTTATAGTTACTTCTTAGTTATATTTATAAGGTAGCTATAATTAGGTAGCGCGCTTACTTATCTAGTGTGCTTACTTATTATATATATTACCTATATAGACTTATATTTACTTTATAAATATCTAGTTAAGCTAAAAACTACTAGAGAGAAGCGTCTTATAATTAATATTATATTATTAAAATAGTCTTATAAGTAATATAAGCTCTATAAAGTCTAATAGATTACTAGATCTAATAATCTAGCTAATAGATTTATAAAGGTATCCCTAAATTAAGCACTTAAAGGCCTAGTTATAAATAATAAAGCTAAAATATATATAGAAAGTTAAGTTATATAAGTATAATAAATTATAATAAGTATATAGTAAAAAATAAATTATAAGTTATATAACTAACTAAACTATAATAGTAGTAGTTAAATCTAACTAATATAAGAATATACCTTTAATAGCTATAGCTAAAAAGAAATACCTTTAAATAAGTTAGTATAAGCCTATACTATTTATAAAGAATAAGAAAAAATAAAGGATATAAGAATATATAGTATATAACTATAAGAAGTATAATACTTTTAAAGTTTTAATTTTTATTATGTTTTTAGGCCTTTTAAGGCTAATCTAGATAGCTAGGGCACTAGTAACTTTTACTATAAAAAAAAAGTTACTAGTATTAGTATATAGTAAGTATACTCTAGGGAAAGTAGTTATATAATATTTATATAATATACTACCTCCCTTTGTAGTATCTACCTTACTAATAGTATACTACCTATAAGTCTAGATTTACTTTATAACTAACTAATATAATAAGTAACTACTATATTCTATATTATAATTTATTATATAATCTATAGGATATCCCTCTTAATAATTAACTAACACCACCACAAGCCCTCCCCTAACTCCTGACGCGCTGTCTGCAGCAGAAGATGTGCGCCAATGAAGATATCTGCTGCTAGCAAATCCCTCGGTGGCCAATGTGTCCAGGGAGTGCAGTCAATTTCCTCTTCATCGATTGGGAATAGGGCCGTCACCTACAGTTAACACGTGGCGGTGGATCATGCAGGCACTATGCGAGCATTAAAGGGCAAAAGTTACAAGGAGACGCGCCATGCACAGGGGCCACTTGAAGCTTGGGCGACCTTGCACGCGCCCCGAACTTCCCCTCTTGAATAGGTATCACAGACACCGGACAATGGAAACATCAGATAAGACTAATCGCTTTCGCAGCATACATCTAGGTGCACGCCCCGCCCGATGTCATCTCCCTATATCAATCACTACTCCTGGATCATGTGAATTTTTTCCTCTGTTTGACTGGGAATAGTGGTGAAGATGATGATAAAAAGGTGTAGGAGACTCTACCTAGCTTTGGTGGTGGAAATGATATCTGTAGGTAGGGCTTTAGATGCAGTAACTGGCGGATGCAGTACTCGCTGGGCTAGGTGGGGTGGAGCTGCGTGGGGACCCACATCATGCCCCGCCCCGCTTTGAAAGCCTGAAAGTTGCGGCCTGAAAGCTGAAAGCTGGAAGCCTGAAAGTCGAAAGCCGCGACTTTCAGCTTTCAGGACCGCAGCTTCCAGGCTTCCAAAGTGGACCATGATGTGGGTCCGTCTCCACATGGCGCTCCACCCATCGCGAGCCACATTCATTGCGTCTGCAGCCTGCGGTTCACACGCGTATGGCGCATGCTTAACAACATGGAATAGTTTACTTCTGGTCTGAAAATAGGTGCTGCGGTTTTCATTAACGAGTAGTCTGCAGGTGTATATATTTGGCTTAATTGCTGCTTAGGCGAGTGTTTTTGTTGCTGTAGGAACTGATAACATGCGGGGCACGGCGGGGTTAGGTCTGTAATGCTTTGGTTCAGAAACACAACGCTAGATGAGGGCTGACTCTTTTGTGTTCCCTGAGTAGAGCGAACTGTATCTACGTGGTATCTTAGAAAGAAAAAGATTTGGTTTACATCGGTGTGTTCTCTTGGTTTCTTGCCAAACGGCTGACTTTTTTCGTGCGCATCCCAGGGACTACAAGCTCTGATGCATCCATCCCGCTTGAACATCTGACACAAATCAAATGGAATTGCCAGATCAACAGCTAGATAGAAACTAAAGCGGCATTTTGGACGGTTTTTATTCGTCATATTTACGTGCAAGGTGTGACATGATATGCAATTCAGATTTGCTAGATCCATCGCCACCAGCCGAACGTGATGCGACACCATTATTTCCACTTATTTTGAGTGCATGCGACAATTCTCTTACAGTCCGTTGCGTTGACAGCGTCTGTTGTATTGGCAGCGTCCAGTTCTAGCCAATCAGAGGCTAGGAGTGGGGAGTTTTATAGGCCTCTGATTGGCTAGGTCACTGTCAGTGCAACAGTTTCGTTGACAGTGTCTGGACACTACCAACGCAACGTAAAGGTATTAAAGCATATATCTCTATCAACAAAGATACAAGGAAGTAAAGACTAAGTATATATATACTTTAATATATAAAGGTCTTTATAGTATTTATTTTAGAATTAATAAGCTAGAGCTGGTCTTAATATTTCAAAGGGAACATAGGTGCACAGACGTTTTTAGGTTTTGGACGCTGCTAACGCAACAGACTGTATGTAGCACTATCGCCCCCCCCCCCCAACCTCCCCTTCCCGGCGGATCTCACACCATCGCTCCTTCCCATCTGCGCGGCTGTTCTTACACAGAACACCCAGTCTTCCAAAATAAAGGAGCGACGCACTGGGGTTGATAATCAGGAAGTGAAGTGGCCTGCAGCTGGTCCTTTTGTCTTTCTTCCAACCCATCCATCTCATGCCTCTAAGAGCATATTCTCTCCAGCAACAAGCATCCCCCTAACGGGCCAGCTCCAGGTTTCTCAATCCCTCTCTCTCTCTCTCTCACGGTCTGCGCCTTTACTTATTTCGGCTATGCCAGCAACTCCAGTATCTATCGGGGAATCTCCACTACCCCCCTCGGCACCCATACGCCCTTCCTACGCGCTCCTAGACGGCTCAGGGGTGGCCGGCAGCGCCTCTCAAGGCGCAGGGTGTCTACCAGGACCTATTAGTCACAATTCATCGTCCAGGCCTTTGAAGAATGTCTATGTATGCCCTCTTTCCCTCATTTTCTCGTCGATGGGCTAACCTGTCACCAAAGGTCCAGGATCTTCTTCACTCTACGGTAGACCACACTCCACACCCGACCGACCCTTCGCTACGTCAATTCGTTACCGACACCATCAGCGGGTACCCCCCTAGCGAGGATGCCCGGACGTGCGTAGGGGTAATACGGAATATGGGCAAGGTTCGGAAGGTTTATGCTGCATCCAAGATCATACTGAAAGAGATGGATCCTTCCTTGGTTCAGGCGGCTCGCAACCATACCAAGGCCCAGAAGCGTCGAAAGATTCTCTTGGACTACCTTGAAACCCATTGGAAAGACGCCGGTCTCCATTATGCTGCCGAGTTCCAAGCTGAGGACATGGGGCAAAACGTCTTGGAGTCGCTAAAGGCTGTGACCGGACTCGCAATCGCCTCCGGAACGCCCTTGTCATCTCTATGGGAGCCAGGAGGTCCCCTGCGCATGGCTGTCGATGAGGTTTCCCCGCCTAGGCTCACGAGAAGTGTGGCCGAAAGAGCTGTTGCTATGGCTAAACGAGTCATGTCAGCTCCCACTGATACCGGAATCGACGCAGTCTCGACGCCCGCTGGCACCAGCTCCACGAAACGCGACCCCGTCCCGAGGGGACATTTGTCCGTTGCCCCCCGTATCCTCCTGAGCCCGGAGGTCGAGGTAGTCCGCAATTCGAACGAGTCCGTCGCGAGCCACTACGAGCATTCCCTCTGTGGATACGAGACTGCCGAGAGCCCTCTTTCCGCGCCCGTAGCGTCTTGCTCATCAATCGAAGACATCAACGTCCACAGTGACGACCTCTTTCCGGAGCCGCCTTTCCACGAAACCATCGACCTAGATAACAATTTTTACCACACTGCACCCAGTGACGACGAAGAAGCAGAAGCAGAACTGGAGCCCTCGGGTTTCAACTCAGCATCAACGTCGTTGGCAACAGACCTAGCTAAAAAGGTTTCAGCAGAGCTTTCTAGCATGGTATGGCTGTCTGATGGCGTTCTCTGGGTCCTCACGCAGGCATTCATGCATATCACCGCACCGCAGTCCGTTTTAGCAGGCAGAGGCATTTTCGTCGTTGACACTTTCTAGCTGAGAGTGCATGAGAATGGTCTGCCCAAGAGAATGCCTCCCAGAGCAATGACAGATGGAGGAGCGGTGCTTTTGGTTCCTATTCACCATCCGGGCCACTGGACCCTCGCCACGATTGACGTAACCTCATCAGAAGTGGTCTTTGACCATTATGACTCGATGTATTCTCCCCGACTCTTTCGAGAGGTTCGCGATGTTGTCGAGCCGTGGCTTCGTGTGGTTTGCCCTGGCAGAAACATACAGGTTGATTCAAAGGTACAGCTCGTCCTTATTTAGATTCCTTCTGTCGCTCACTGGCTGATCCGATCAGTACAGATCTGCCCGCAACAGCAAGATGGTGTCAGTTGCGGAGTTTTTGTGGCGTCATTTATCCGAACCTTTCTACAAGGCAACAACTTGCCGGAATCGTTGGACAGCGAGTCGGAACGTCGCATGTTCCTGAACATCCTTCACCAGCTGGACATTCCCCACGAGTCCAACGCCCCCGAGTCGGGAACTCTCATTTGTGTCGTCCAAGCCCTCAAGAAAGACGTTAGCCTAGTGTCTCATCCGACCGCGACCTCTCCACCCTCCGGCGAGAGCTCTGCTCAAGCAAGTCTCACAGAACCGACTCATACTACCGTCGCAACCGCAGGTGTAGGTTCGACGAAGCGCAAGCGACATATGGATGAACCTGAGTCCCTCCCCAATAAGAAGCAGCCGAAAACGGACGGAGGCAGAGCCCATGACACGCTGTCTCTTGAATGCGCAATATGGAAAGGGCCTATCGAGCTGAAGGAAAGGCTCTCAAAGACAAAACAGGAGTTGAAGGAGGCTCTAGGAAAGGAATTGGAACTCGAGGCCCGCATTGCCGACCTGCAGGCGTTGGAAGATGGACGTCACACTCATGCAGGCCATCTCAGAAGCATGGCTCCGTCACTTCTAATTAAAGGGGCAGCAGTGGGCGGCCGCATTGCCAACACTCAGGATGGCCAGAAGCAGATGGATGACGACAAAGCCCAGTTCCAAAAGTACGTTCAACACCTACAGCAGGCTCACGAGATGGCTGCGATAGCCTACCTTTCAGCAAGCGATACGAACACTACAAGTTTTCTCCAAGAAAGCAAGCAAAAGCTAGAAGACGCGTATACAGCCACGAGAAGGTTGAAAGACATGGTTGGGGAGCTCGAGGAACAAGGCCGGGAGAAAATAGCAGAGCTCATGAAGCTTCAAAAAGCTGTTGAGGAGGCCGTGGCGGTTCTGGGCGAAGACTTGTGAAGGCGGCGCCCCGCGTATTCTGAGGTACTGATGTAACTAGGCACTTTTACTGGCGTTAGACTGAACCTTGACTTTCCGCCTGAGGTACTTACTGATTTATCTCGCATTCTTTGCCCTGAGAAGAGCGGTAAAAGTGACCTGGAAATGGAAGGCGATCTGGAACACGCGCGCACTGGCAAAGGAGTAGCGTGGAGCCAGTGACGACGGCAGTTGGCGATGGGAAAGAAGCTCATAAGTACAAGACGCGGAGAGATAGGAGGATACACAGGCATCAAAGACGTATAAAAGGTTAGATGATATGAATATGCTGCGAACAAAGAGGCCGCCACGGTAGTGGTGATTCCTCATACGAGATGGCCATAGAACGCCGAAGGGCGCCACCGCCGCCAAAGGCCAAGGGAGCTCTATTCCATCTATCCCAGTGGTCTACCCTTAGCTAAGTTGTCTTTAATGTCGCGGAATATTTGAAGCGACGAGCCTCCATGTTTTCGATGCTGCAAGCGGTAACTGTGCGTCGTTTTGCTCATGTCTCAGGTGCTGGTCCCCCCCCTCCCCCATTGTCGACCAGCCGCCGCCGCGTTCCTGTATCTGTATAGGCTCTCAGCACGACATGAACGACCTCCGTTGGCACCGTCACATACAAACGACTATCTCGAACAGACGGGTGTCAACCAGACAGGTGTCAACCAACCAGGTGTAGCCCAGCACAGCGGCGACTTGCAGCGCCGGCCTGAAGGTCGACTCCATAACCCATGTGATGGCGACTCTGGTGGATTGGAACGAGGGCGCTGGAAAGGGTTCATGGTAAAGGCTCGTCAAGAGAGGTCGATACAGCAGGGTGAGAAGTACGTGGAGAAGGCGGCGGCGGAGGAAGGAGGCGCAGAGATTTCGACAACGACGCGGGGTATCTCGACCTAGGCGACATCGGATTAGAGCCAGCCTAGTTTTTCCGAGATGACAATAACTTAGCTTGCTAGGTGACTGATGATAGGACTGAATAGGATCATGGACGGTACGGCGTAGGAGAGTGTGTTGGTTGGAAAAAGAGCGATTATTGCGAGAGAGATTGCTGGTCGATGGCGTTGCCCGGGATATATTCGCATTAAGAAAAGAAGCGCGAGCCTGTTAATGCGCAACTCTCCAACGGGCACTGGCCGTAGCATATATCAGTCTAGCCGAGTATTTTAAAGCCGACTATCGATCAATCCAGTGTGGGCTTCCAACACTCTCCCCATCATTGATTGGCATGGGCGGACTGGACATGCCTACTGTGGTGAGGCAGGGAGACGCCACACGAGGCGTCTGGTCTGATGCTTAGCGGCGGCAGGGACGACAGCACGAAGTGCTTTCCTGTTGTAGGAACGTTCATTCGCTGGCTGTTGGTCACCACTTACCTATCCTCAACGGCACAATCATATCACGCCAGCAAGGTTTACGGTTACCTATATAACTTTTGTTTCCCAACGGTAACCCCTTGACCCCAAAGGTTTCTCATGCCACTAAGCCACACACATTAACGAAGATAGGTTCTCTGCCCCCCCAATACATAATGGTGTCATCTCCCATTTCCCCCATTCGTCGTCACCGTCACCGCAAAAGTTATTCCTATGCCTCATTCACTAGCACAGCAGCCAAATCGAAACACCCGAACCAACAACGCCTACACACGTGATCGCCTTCTCAGCCAGACATGGACGACATCCCACACCCGCCCACCGACCACGAGCGCACATGGTACTACTACGGCCTTCCGAGCCAGCCCAGGCTTGCTTGTTGCACGCTCAAGCACGACACCCTTCAAGCCCATTGATAACGCCTGGTCGTCTGATTCAAAAACTCTGACCGTCGTCGGCGAGCACCCCATCGTGAGCCAATGGAACAACGACCGTTCCTCGTTGAGGAATGAAATTGTCGCCATCCCCACCAGCGAGGCAGTCGAGTGGCAGGCAATTGATGTTATCCGCATCGGAGACGCCCGCGATGACGATATGCCCGTAGCCGTTTCCATCTCCATCATGGCGGCAACACTGTCATGGGACGTTGGCAATCGAGTCGCTTGGCGCTGCCAGTGCGCCCTTGACGAACACGGACTCAAAGACGTCTGTTGCAAGATCAAAGAATCGGCAATAGTCAACCTCGCATCCACTCCCGCTGTGCTCAAACAATCTCTAGATATCAAAGGGGCGGGTTAGGTCGCTCTCCCTCTTGAGACAGACGATGGCAACCGGATGGGATAATTAGGTGATTTGATTCGAACGTGGTTTTGGCATCGCCTGTCTTTAGCAAACTGTGATGGGGAGAGTCCAAGAGACGGCTGGCTGTATTGTTGGAAACGGAGGGACCTACCCTGACAGACCTTACAACGGCCCCACGCCGTGTCCGTCCCGGCCCGATGTCCACGGCCGTAGCTTATTCCCTTTCCTCCGACCACGGCATCCCGTACCCTTTGGAAGTGGCAAAAGGAAAAAAGGAAAAGACTTGTTTAGCAATACAGAATGCGTGCGTCGAACCGCTACTAACGCAAAGACAGATAAAGAGGGCCGCGGCCTGGCAAACTGGACCCTCTCGTTTGCTTGCTGTGATGGATTGGAACGACGGAGCAACTCGGTTATAGAAAAATGACAGTGAAGCAGACAGAAGGTTCTATGTGAGCCACAGGAGGCACCCAACTCATACACCCCCAAGTCTAATCTCAGCAGCGTTATCTCGTTGTCTGGAAAGGAGGCGCAACTGACAGCCAAGGAAGGGGAACCAGGGAAGGGAACAGCTGATTCTACAAGATGGAGGAGATTCAATGGTGGAAACGCCACACTGTGCTCAGTCGTTACAAGAGAACCAACTGATACTTTGGCATTAGAAAGGAGGCATCTCTCATCCCTACATGTGTAATACAAAGGACCGGGATCGTGTCTGACTAGTTGTAGCGCATGATGAAGAAGAGAAGAGAACCAAGCATGAGGATTGATGCGAGACTTGACATGTTTGTGATGGATAGATTTGTCCTGTTAAGTTGATAGATTATCTTTCAAGTTTGAGACTGATAGAGAAGGGGACGCAAGCGCTTACATGGTTATTGCCTTATATTCTACAATAGCCTATTTCAGTGGGTTTTGTAAGCTTCATCACTAGGGACTCGTTCCCTCTATAGAGATGTTATATCTCATGCGCTGTCTGTCTAAGACAATAACCTAATATTTAGAAAGACAGTGTCTAATAGTGATACTGCATTATATCTCTGAAACCACAACTAGTTAAGGATATTACGCTGCCTATCTCTAGCCCTCTGGGTTGTCTTGCTCTAGCTGCTAATAACTTCCATCCAGATACATCTTATAGGATAAAGAAAGGCTCTATCCAGTATTCTAGACTGCTACTAAACGAGCCGTGTTTATCTCCCAATCCGGTCGTCCGTTCTATCCATCCCGTCTGCCCTGCCCATCCGGCTCATTTGGCCTGCCTGCCGGGAGCCTAACCCGTTTATCTTTCTCGCTCGTTTCTGTCGCTGAGGCCTGTCTTAGCCCACTCTTATCTACCTCCTTTTTTCAGTGCAACTACTTACTAATCTGGTCAGAGAGCAAGGTGATCTTTAGAATCCTGTAACTCCCCCACCCTATATCCGAACCACCCCCACATCCGAACCACCCGAAATTCCCGCATTTCCCCTCCTTCATCAACACCACTACCTTTTTCAAACTATCACAACAATTGCCATTTATCGCCAAATAACGCTATTTTTTCAGGATACCTTCTTTAAACTATTATAAAGTAATATTCTAAAGATAAGCTCTAACAGGCCCTCCTAGATGTGCAGTCTAGGCAGTATAGCCTCTAGGCTATTACTTATAGATAGGGTATACTATATATAACACTTTAGTATTAATACTTTAGCAGGCAAAGCAGGAATACTGCCTTTAAAGATAGGCAGCACTTATCTTAGGCCTAAGAGGATAATCTAGCTGCCTATATTACCCTTTAATAGTCCCTTAGTAAATACGTTAACTATTAATAAGTAAAAGGCCTAGTAGAGCGTATAATAGGTAATAGGTATCCTCTTATAGGGAGGAAATAGATAGCCTAATTTATATAGCAAAATCTATTTATTAGAACCCTCTAATCTAGAGTAATTAATGCCTAGTGATAGGCAGCCTATTCCCCTAAGGTTATCTAGGATTTCTTCTATTACCTTAGTAGTATCCCTACTATCTAAAGGATCTATCTATCTAACAGATAGAATATAAATAAGACTAGTATTATAGAGGGTAAAAGGGGTAATAGGCTAGTGCTAGGCTCTAAGGTATTATAATATATTTAGAAAAAGCAGCTAGGATCTTAGGTATAGGTATCTATTATTAAGTATATATCTACTACTAGTAGCTTCTTACCCCCCTTAGTTATATATAAGGGTAAATCACTTTAGGCCTAGTAGTTCTTATCTAACCTTAATATATATAAGCTATAGTAATTTATAGTAACTAATAATAGCTAGATAACTAATAATACTGCCCTTAAATAGCTAGAGAAGGTCTTTATCCTATATACTAAGCCTGCCTAGCTAGAGGAGGCCAGACTACTAGTTCTTAATAGGTATTATAGCTATATAACTATTAATTTTATATAGTAATACTAGTAGTATAATATATATCTACTATTTTTACTACTATACGCCTTTACTATCCTCTAGCCTCTAGATATAGCTATCTTTAGCCTATTAAAGTAGGCCTATTATAAGGAGGTTAGATATCTAGATAACTAGGTTATAGATTTAACTATTACTAGTAAAAAGGTATTCTTAGAGTATTATTTTAAGGCCTATAAGGTATCTATTATATCTATTAATATTAGCAGTAGCTAGAGGTTATCTAGATTATAGCCTATATATATAAGACGCCCCTTATCTAACTTAATAGTAACTAGGGCCTAATAGAGCCAGCCTAGCTAGCAGACTAGTAGCTAATAGTAGGATAAAGCTAAATCTATTATCCTATAGTTAACACCTTATTAATCTACTAATCTATAGTATTAATTACACTAGTTAATTTAGTTAGGTAAGGATAAGTTAGATACTTATACTATTTACTACCTATCTAGAAAGCTATAAAAAGGCTATAATAAGCAGGCATCTAGAGCAGCCCTTCTAGAAAGGCAGGTTAACTTATTACAGGCCTAGTTAAATAATATACAGTTACGCAAGAGGAAAAGGGTCTAATTATCTCCTAATAGCACCTTTGCTACTATAGAGGATATAATCTGGGCCTGAAGTCCGGATCCCGGCAATATAGATAGTCCGGATGAATCTAGGGCATCCGAATTGCCCAGCGAGGCCGAAAGTTGCATATGGGTGGGCGGCAGAGATAGTGAAATAAGTGGTGATAGTGGTGGCGATGGTGGTGATGATGGTGGTTCGGATGTGGGGGTGGTTCGGATATAGGGTGGGGGAGTTATCAACTGAGCATGGTATTCAGGGCACCGTCTATCTGAAACCTTGGCGACTGAATAAGATCCTTTTGAGAAGTTTAGATAATCACCCAAGGAAAGTTTCCAATAGAGAAGCGGTGCACTCACGATCCGATCCTTCTTCTCCACGGCGAAGAGTAGCTGCCATGTGGACCCCGACGCGAAAGATACAGCAGCCATGATACCTAGCAGTTCATTCATTGGAGCCGATCAGCTGTCTTGGTCGCAGGATCTGTGCCGATTTCCAGACGAAGAGCTTCGCCTTGGCCACGTGTTCAAAGCCGTCCTTCTTCTAAGTCTCGATGCCCACGCTGATGAGCGACATGCTCAGCGGGCCGTATTCTGTGTGGTTAATGGACTGGGGGAGAGGCGGGAACTCCTTCTGCTTTATCCCTTTTGTTGGTGATGAGAAGACGCCGCTGTCATTAGAGAATACAGGTGATGATACAGTACTACTGCTACTGACCATAGGATCTACTAGCCATATCTGGAGCCTAACGACGTTGTGGACAGCACTCTCGATCTCCCCATTGTTAATGCTTATGCAGTGATCCACTATCCTGGCCTCAAGGCGAACACTATCACAGGCGCGTTGTGGTAGGCAAGCTGCCGCGATGGTGAATTGTCGTGTTGGAGACACTGATGAGACATTCGTCTTCATCGCCGTCTGACTCGTCCGTCACCCTGTCTCTTTCAATGGCAATGGCGCGAAGCTGCGAGTGGACGTGATTGTTGCAGTGCGCCTCGGAAATATCCCTGGCAAGCTTTGACTGTTAAGGAAGATAGAGACGGTAGTTGTTTAGATAGATACTGGACCACTTTGGGGGCCTGTGTTGGGTTGTGTTAGTTAATTACTAAGAGGGATATCCTGTAGATTACGTAACAAATTATAATCCAGAATATAGTGGTTACTTATTATTTCTTTATTATATAGTAAATCTAGACTTTTAGGTAGTATACTAGTAGTAAGGTAGATACTACTAAAGGAGGCAGTATGTTATATAAATATTATATAACTACCTCCTCTAGAGTATACCTACTATATACTAACACTAGTAACTTTTCTTTTATAGTAAAAGTTACTAGTGCCCTAGCTATCTAGATTAGCCTTAAAAAGCCTAAAAATATAATAAAAATTAAAACTTTAAAAGTATTACACTTCTTATAGTTATATACTATATATTCCTATATCTTTTATTTTTCCTTATTCCTTATAGATAGTATAGGCTTATACTAACTTATCTAGAGGTATTTCTCCTTAGCTATAGCTATTAGAGGTGTATTTTTATATTAGTTAGATTTAACTATTACTATTATAGTCTAATTAGTTATATAACTTATAATTTATTTTTTACTATATACTTATTATAATTTATTATACTTATATAACTTAACCTTTTATATATATCTTAGCTTTATTATTTATAACTAGGCCTTTAAGTACTTAATTTAGGGATACCTTTATAAACCTATTAGCTAAGTTATTAGTATTAGTAATCTATTAGACTTTATAAAGCTTATAGTGCTTATAGGACTATTTTAATAATATTATATTAATTATAAGACGCTTTTTTTTTATAGTTTCTAGCTTTACTAGATATTTATAAAGTAAATATAAGTCTATATATATAATAGTTAGGATTATTAAGATATTAAGCTTTTTTATAATTATTATAATAGTTATAAATAAGGTGTAAGCTATATTAATACCTATAACTATCTTATATACTTTAGATATAAGGACGCTTTATATAACTTATTTAGACTTAGTAAATAAGAAATAAAGGACGTTACTATAAAGAAGAAATTTAGCTTAGTTATTATTAACTTTTTTATTTATAAGGAGGATAATAAATCCTAACTATAAAGTTATATTATAATTATTAGTAAATAATCTATTTATAAATGTAAATAGCTTAGCTAATATAAAATCTAAAGGAATAAATTATAAACTATAGTTAAGTAAGTTTATTTACTATTAAGTTTAATAGTTAAGGTCTTTAATTACTTTATTATCTAGCTCCTTATATTAGGCTATAATAAAAAGATTATAGTACGCTTTAGGCTAGTAAATAGAGGTAATATATACTCCTTATGCCTATTACTAGATAAAATCTTAGTAGGCTATAGGTAACTTTATATTAATTAATTATAGCTATACTTCTTACCTTTTTTAGTAAAGTATAATAAAAGTATCTATAGTAAATATAACTATAATAATCTTACTATTAAAAGTAAGTAGTTAGTTAATAGTAAAAAATAACTTATCCTTTATAGTAAATTTTACTTTAATTAGTTCCTTATTCTCTTAGTTAGAAAATAAAAGGTCTATTAGGCTAATAGTATTATCTATTTATATACTAATAAGTATAAAGTGTAGATTTTTACTAAATAATAAGAGAAAGTAGGGGTTATATATAGTAAAGACTATCTAGAGATTCTCCTTATAATAATAGTTATAAGTAGCCTACTAGTATGTACCTACCTTAGTAATCTTATATAAAGGCTTAATAACTTTTATAATAGTATTATTAGGGTACTTATAATAGATTTAGGCTAGGAGTTTAGTATAAATAGTATAGTTAAGGTAGGAAGTAAATTAAATATAGGCCTATATAATATTACGTAGCTATATAACTTTACTATTAGTAAGAAGGGAAGGGGCTAGTATAAGAATAAGCTACTAGCTAGCCTGCTAAATAGTAGGTAACTAAGTAAGAATAGCCTCTTTACTATTATTAGCGTAGCCTTAAATAACTAGTTATAATTTCTTATAAGGCTTCTTATTAATACCTTTTACCTTATTTATAATTTATAATTTAAAAATTTACTTATAAGGTTAAAGTTAGTTAATTATAGTAAATTTAAAGACGCCTTATATAATAAGGCTATTAATCTTAGTAGTTACTAATTACTTAAATAGCTTACTAGGCGCTATAATAACGCCTTTTTTATGTAGTTAGATTATAAGGGTTTAATAGGCTTCTTCCTTTACTAAGAGGAAGGTAGTATAAGGTATATTAGTCTTTTATAGGAGAGTATATCTTATAGGGATTTTTCTAGCTTGTTAAGATTACGTAGTAATAAGGGTATTTAGCTATTACTCTAAGCTAGTTATAATAATAATAGTATCTTTAGTAGGATTATTACTATAACTATTATCTTTATTATAAGATTATTAAGAAGTATACTAGGGGGCGCCTTTAGCTAAGCCTTCTTCTTTATTATCTACTATATAATATAGCTTAACTAATATAAAGTAGAAAACATAAGGCCTATTAATATTAATAGTAAAGTCTTTACCTTAAGTAGTAATTAGCTTATATAGCCTTAACTAACCTCCTTTTTTACGCTAGACGTAGACGTTACTACCTAGAGGTAAATCCTTTATTATAGAGGTATCTAGACTATTATAAGTAGTAAAAGCCTTATTAATCTACTTTATTACGTTATATTTATAAAGATTCTTAGTTACTTTTTAGATAGTAGTTACGTATTAGATTATCTTAGGTAAAAAGGTAAAGTTAGTAGTTATATAAAGGTAGGCGCTAAATACTAATAAAGTAGGCATAAGGCTATTTAGGCTAGTAGTATTATTAACTACTTTAGTAGCGCTTTAAAGTGCTGCTTTATAGTTAATAGATAGGTATTCCTTATAGATTATCTTATATGCCTATTAGAGTATAGTATAGTATCTCTTAACCTTCCTAACGCTATAATATACTTTAATAGGGATAATCTTAACTTTAACGCCTATTATATAGGCTTTATATAAAAATTTAGTTAAGATAAAGTTCTATCTTATATTAGTAATAATCTAATCTAGAGGCCCTTAGTAGATATTAATCTAGTAGTAATAAAGTGCCTCTTATATACTTTTTACTAAAATATTATAAAAGAAGTAGGCTATATTAAAGGCAGTAGTAGTATTAATAATATAAAGTATAAGGTTACTATTAAGGTATATAATATTAATAATAACTTTATAATTAAATAAATAGTTATTATATAAGGTAAATTAGAATTAAGAAGAAGCCTTTCTATAGATCTAGTAATAATAATAATACTTTATTAAGTGTTTAATTACCTTTATTTTAACCTTATAGCTAGCTTTATAAAGTATTTTATATAGCTAGTAAATTAATAAGTACTTAAATTATTAATAGAGGTAGTATAGCTTAATATTAGTTAGGTAGTAACTTATAAGGCTTTATTTAAGTAGGCTAAGTAGTATCTATAGGTAGCCTTATTTTTATATAACTAGTACTATAACTTTACCTTAGTAAAGAGTATTTATAAGGTTATTAAAATAAATTAAGAGCTAATCTATATTACCTAAGTAGAGTAAGAAAGGCGTATTAGTAGGTATTATATAGAAGGTAATATACCTAAAGGGAGTCTTTACTATAATAGTGCCTTATAAAGTAATAGTATTACTACTACTAAATCTAATCTTTATCTTACCTACTGCTATAGTGTTAATAGTTATAAATAGCTAGATTTACTATAGTGTAATAGCTTATAAATAGCCTATAGTTAAATAACTTACTACGCCTATATTTAGTAAAATACCTTAAAAGATAGCTAATAAGTAACGTTCTAACATAAAGGTGCTAGGTGACTTAGTAAAGGCGCTATTAGGGTTAATTTTTATTAATTAGTAATAGATAGCCTAGTTAGTAAGGCTAGTAGTAAGTGCCTTACTATCTACCTTAGTACTTCTAAAGAATATAGTTAAGGTATATAATATACTATTATCTTATTCTTTATTATTACTAATAATAAAGTAGCCCCCTTAGAGATACTACTAAAGATCCTTATTATTATTACTATCTTTATCTTCTTCTTCTTATAGATAGGTGCCTTTATAGCTAGTAAAAAAGGTGTTATATATAGTTAGTAAGGTATCTTTAATATAACAGTTACTTTTAAATTACTAGTACGCTTTACGTCTTTTATTAGTAGTATACTTTATTAACTAGTAGCTAGGCTTATAGTAAACGTAGTACTTTTTAGTATTATAGCTACTATTATTATTATTACTATTATAAAACTTACTACTACTATAGTTATTACTAAACTATTAATTACAGCCTTAGCCTTAGTAGGTGTAGTCTACTTAATATTAGTTATTAGATAATAAGGAGGATAAGGGCTTAGTAAGGTATTAGCTATAGTTAGAGTGTTTTATTATAGTTATAATAGATAATCTTAGTTAGCTATAGACTCTACTTAATATTAGAGATAGGTTATATAGGTAGAGATTACACTTAGTAACTCTAGAGTAGGTATTAAGTAGCTAGCTCCTAAGAACCTTATTATAATAATATATTAAGGGGAGAGCTTATTAGATAATACTTAGCTTATTAATAAGCTTATTAAGAACCTAGATCCTAGTTATCTCTAGATAGTTACAGGTAACCTTTATAAATATAGTTTCCTACTACTTAGATAGGTAAGTTTAGATCTACTCTAAGGTCTTAAATTATTCCCTTATATAATAAACTATATTAGGAAAGTTTTATACGCTATTACTATAGATATAGGTAGAGTAGAATTAAAAAGCCTTACCCTTTAGTATAATAGAAAAAGCAGGCATAAGTTAGTGCTCTTTAATCCTAATCTTACTATAGTTATCTTAAAATACGTTTAGCTTAAGATTAAGGACGTTATATAACTTACTACTATACTTTATCTTATTAGTTAATAGCTTTATAAGATCTGTTAGCTGTTATAAGTAAGGTTATAATAAAAGGATAAGGATAAAGTTAGGCTTATGTAGTAGCTAATGTTATTATAATTTATTATAGCCTTATAGTAACTAGAATCTCTATATAGCACTTTAAGGTAGTAGGTTAGTAGTAGGCTTATAGTTACTTAATAAGTTAAATAGTATATCCTACTAAAGATCTACTTTATTTACTATAATAGGCTAACTACCTAATTACTTACTATACTAGCTATAATAAGATTAATAAGGTTAAGGAGTAGAGTAATAAGTAGGGTAATAAGTAAGGTAAGGAGTAAGGTAAGGTATTCTTAGGTTATATAATAAGGTATTAATAAATAAAGTGCCTATATTACCTCTAAGTACTAGGTTTAAGTTAGTAAGTGCCTAGTAGATTCTATCTTATTATAAGAGTAAAGTTAGGCCTTCTTACTCCTACTTTAGCTAGTAATAATCTACTGTTAATAGGTAAGTTAAAGTAAATAGGGGTAGTTACTTTTATAAAGTAATATTAGCTACTATTTATAATAATATTAAAAAAGTAGTAAATAAGGCCTAATTAATTATTAATCTCTTCTTAAGTAAGATATATTAACTAGTAATATTATTAATAAAGTCTATATTTTTTATCTATAGGTTAAAGATAGGCTATTTAAAGTAGGTAAAAGTAATATCTTCTCTAGTCTATATATAGAAATTAGCGTTAAGAAGATCTACTAATTTAGGTGTAATCCTTCCTTTTACTAGATTAATAAAGACTCTATTATTAATAAGGTAATTATAAAATATTAATAGTGCCTTAGTGCCTATAGCGTTAAAGGTAGTAATAGTCTAATCTATAAAATCTAACTAAAAGGCAGTAAGAAGATAGTAGCTATAAAGGTTAGCGTCTAACTATATAGTAATTATATATATTATATATAATCTAACTTTATAAGCGTCTAACTTATTAAGATTAAAGTTAATATAGTTACCTTATATTATTAAATTAATATAGTAGATAAAAGTAAGTAGAAAAAGGAGAGGTTATAAGAGGTAAGATAGTAATAATAATAATATTAAAAGATATAAAAGGGAATAAATATTTATTATTTATTAACTTAATAGCCTTACTATTACTAGTAGTAGCTTTTTACTTTTTTTTTTTACTTATTATTAATATAGATTTAGTTAAAATAAAGTAAAGAAGTAAAAAAAGTTATAATAATAATAGTTAAATTTATAGAGGATTATTTACTAATAGGCTAGTTAATCCTCTCTGCTTTACGTAAAAAAAACCTTACTAATCTGTTACAGTGGTGATCTAGTGATTAATTACACACTAATCAGTGTTAGTTAATCACTAAGAGGGATATCCCATAGATCACGTAACAAATCGTAATACAGAATGTGGTGGTTACTTGTTGTTTCTTCGTTACACAGTGAATCCAGACTTTTAGGTGGTATACTGGTGGTGAGGTGGATACTGCCGAGGGAGGCGGTGTGTCACGTGAATATCACGTGACCACCTCCCCCGGAGCATACCTACCGTATACCAACAGGTTAATATAATACAATGCAATACAATGCGTGGTAAGTGGCGGTGGGTAAATGATTGATATACAAGTTCGAAGCCAATCGATCGCTAGCAACAGAATTGAGGAGGCTGGCGGCACAGGACACGTGCAAGAGGCGGGAGAGTGGCAATATAATGACTTTCGGAGGCTTCTGGGGAAAGCGAAAAGAGAAAGGAGGGAAGAGGGAGCTTGTAGGTGAATGAATGGACATGAGACTTACCGCAGAAGGGACAGCACGTCTGTCCGCTTTGATCTGGGAACCCTGGCCGTCCCTATGTCTACAATCCAGTACGAGCTTGGGACCTGTCGGTATTACATTGAAAGATATGACAACCGGATGGGCAGAACAATAGTTGAATTGGCCATCTATCTGTTGCCACTACATTCCACCATCTTCAATTGCCTTGACGAAATCTCCGATAGCCCCTCGCTAGTGCAGCGACAACCCTACTGACAAGAAGAAGCCACCACGATGTCGTTGTGTCTACAGGTGCCTTTGTATCCTCCATTACCAACTTGACTCGTGCCTCGAACACGTCATCAGCCCTGCTTCGCAGCTCGGCCACATGGGCGGCCCTCCGTACCTTGTAGGCTTCGACATAGCCACAGATACTGCCCTGCACCAGCCTATAGTCTTCTGCCGTTAAGACCTGCTTGTCCTGCAGAAGTCGGCGGTTCACAAGAACAAGGTCCCAAATCTCAACCAAGACGCCACACTCGGCACAGTTGGGGAACAGGGACCGCTTATCGTCCAAAGCTGTATCGCAGTAGACGTGGTCAGGACCCCATCTGCGGCAGGTTCCATAGGCATGGTAGAACTGAGAGAGGTACGTGATGCGAGCGCAGGGCCCCTTCTCTGTCACGCGACAGGGCTGGCCGATAAAACATCCGCGGTGGGAGGGTTCCGCAGCGTCCCAGGCCTCCGGAGAGGGGGCGTACTGTCGTAATATAGCAACGGGGTCTCGAATAGGAGGGCCGCCACCGCCGTACCCAGGGTCCTCGGCATCCTCGACCCGGCTATCTATCCAGGCCGTCCCGATGACGGAGTCGGTGACATGATCGGCGTGCTGGACAGGCGAAATCATTTCCAAAGCCAGGATACGGTGGTGGATTAGACGGGAACTAGTATTTCCCAATGAAAAGCGCGAATACGTTGGTAGAATGAACAGGGTATCTTTGGGGAACTGGCTAGTCATTCTTTCTTCATGTCTATATGCCCCGTTGGCTACGCAATACTTATATGTCGGAGTGTTGGTCTTGCCGTGCACGCGTACGCTCGAAGCGTTTTCTCTTTTCGTTTCTTTTCCTCCCGTTATCTCCCTCGACAGAGAGCGGGGGTCGGCCCGCAGTGCGGAAGCGATGACCTGCAGCCCATGTCGACGTCGTCACAATGCAAAGACCCCGCCGACGTGCAGGCGAGAGTCGAAGGAGACAATACCGTATCCTCTGGCTAAACTGACATACCGCTAGTATTCGGGCTAACGGCAAGTGGTATCGCGGCCGCCGTAAGGGGCATGGTGGGCTGGCAGAAGCAGGGATCTGGAAGTGGCAAAAGTAGGGGTTAGTCATGTACGTCAGAAGCAAATTAGGTGGCAAGGGCCAGCAAACAGACTTTGAATTGGCATTGGATTTCCTCCTATCCTTCCACATCTTGCTAGATTTCCTATGGCCTTATTGAACTGCCTCTAATGGCTTACTAGACGTCTTTAGCTAGAGATATATACTTTTAGTAGTTGTTATTTATATTAACGTTAGGTATCTCTTCTTAGGTTATTTCCTTTTTTATATAGGCGTTGTAGTTAAAGTTATCCTATCTATCCTATAATATCTTCTTATTTAGTATGTCCTTAATCTAAATCTTGTTAATATTACTCCTATCTAGATTAGTACTAATCCCACACTAAAGAAAGGATTACTAGACTATATTACCCTTTTTAGCTAGGTAATAGGTAGCTACTATAACTATATAGGTAACTATAATTTATTTTATTAATATAGACTACTTAATAAGCTAGCCTAGCTAGATAGGCTAGATAGGCTAGATAGGCTAGATAAGCAGGATAGGCTAGCAGGCTCCTTACTCTATCTGCTATATATATTTATTAGTTACTTTAGATAACTACTACTTAAAGGGCTTATTAATAGTAGTATCTAGAGGTTAAAGAAGAGAGGTTATACTAGGCGGTATAAGGCTTAGTGTAACGTAATAAGAGTAAAGTTATAATAGTATTATAAGGGTCTTATAAAAGGTAGTAACGTTTATAACTAATAGATACTCTTACCTTACTATAAGAGGGAAGAATTTATTAGTTAGCTACTGCCTAAGGAGATATTTATTATTATAGGCTGTATTATTATACTTAACTATTACCTTATTACTATATAAGTCACCCTTACGTGCTATAAGGTGGCCACCTAGCTAGCTATAAAAAATTAACTTAGGTAGCAGCTGTTAAATCCTATTAGTAAAGATATAAAGGATTAAGGTGGCTTACTGCTTACTCTAGCTACTACAGTTAGTCTTACTAGCTATAGTATAGGCCCCTTAGGCTGCCTAAGTTAACCTATTAAGATACTTAAAGGGTATAGGGGTCTTATTAAAGTTAATAATACAGTTAGGGGGAAATCAGAGGCCACTAATAGGCTAGTAGGCTAATAAAGGCTAACTAACCTATTAGTTAAAGTAAAAGAAGTTAGTAATAATAGTAAGGTATTTAGTAGGCAGCTTTAAGGCTTACTTTATAAGCTAGTAGTATAAAATATTATATTATTTAAGAAAGCTAGTAAACTAGCTAGTAGAGAATTAGAAGGGGTAGGTATAGGTAGGTAAGTTACTAGCTATAAAGGTGTTAGGGTATCTAGTAGTAAAAAGGGCCTAGGCCTCCTGCTTAAACTATTTAGTAGTAACTATCTTATTATAGGCTTATTATTACTAAAAGTAACTAAAGAGGTTAGCTTTTATTACTAGCTATTATAGTTAATATTCTTATATAGTTAGGCTAATAATAGTTAATTATCTCTAGTACTAGTTAACTACTGTTATAATAGGTATTTTAAAGCAGGTAGTAGCCTTATAGAAACTTAGGCAGCAGAGGCTGTTAGTAGGGTTAAGGGGTGTATTACTAGCCTGTTAGTAGGTATAGGCAGCGTCAGATAGGTATTAGTAGTGCTTAAGGTATATTAGTACGTTAAGTTGCTTTAATTGCTAGTACGACCTCTAAAGCCGCTAAATTGGTTTTTTTAGTGTATATTATTGCTTTGTAATAGGTAGAGGCTTTTTACCTATCTTACGTTAAGGCGTATAATTTAGATTAACTTTGCCTAGCGGCTGGCGGTCAGGCATTGTGAATAACGTGGGTTAGCGAAGTTAATAGGCTGGCGAAGTTAATCGTGGGCTGGCTGGCAAGTAGGTAGTTGGGTGGATGGGTGGGTGGATGGGTAGGTTGACCGCCTTCTGTAATAGGCTTAGTTGATTGGCGGCCGCGATACCACTTGCCGTTAGCCCGAATACTAGCGGTATGTCAGTTTAGCCAGAGGATACGGTAGGCCAACATCCTCTTCGGACTATTATACGCGTCAGCCCCTCGATCCAAGCCCGTTCGGAATATGCGAGCTGCGCGTCCTCTCCCCCAGCCAGATGATTGGCTCAGAATGGCGGTGACCGATAAGAGACGCCCGCGTATTGGCGCCGGGGTGTAGGGATATGCTTTCAATCATGACGCTAATATCAACTCCTGGCAACTTCTCCGAACTTTGCTGGTGTGATTGTGCGACAACAAGGATGAGGTACCGTAGACACTCGCCAAATTGGGCTTCAGCTGACAAATGTGTCGCCTTGAGGGTCGAATGCACGTACCATCGGATTCTGGTCATTCGAGTGGCGAAGTTCGTCCCGGAAAGGTTGCCGACATTCTGCCGTAGACTTTACCCATTTTGGCCCAGTGGATCATGAGAGTACAATTTTCCTGGCTTTGGGTGGTGTGATAGATGATAAGAGGGAGCGAGGTGCGAGGATAACTGTGACGAGACAAAAGGGACCACAATGCCAGGCAGACACACCAATCGCACCTTGTCGCTTGGGCACAAAAGAAAAACAGACAAACAAAACAAACGGGCGACAGCAGATGAAATGGAGCGTGGGGGTTCGACGCGAAGGTACATGGTCCCAAGGGAGTTGTTGCCTTAGGTACGGACAGGTACATGCCGGCCTAAACCTAGATACCTACAGATACGTACCCAATGGAGGAAGGCACAGTACCAAGGCAGGGATACCTAGATACTTCCCTCACAGAACAGATGCGAGTGGGGCAAAGGGATGTATTTATGTACCTTGTAACCACTTCCTAGCGCCTGCACTGCATATTTGTTTGCTTTGTACTACATTTAGGCATACACACATGCACACATGCATGGCAAATGCGTTGGCAGTTGCGCTTACTACCCAATTGCCTATCTCTTCCTAGGGCGCAACGCTCATTTTTGTCTCTACTACTATAGACTAGCTACAACGTATTATAGGTATAGAGCAAGACACCTTAGTATAGAAGTATATATAGATGACAAGAAAGGTAATAGTCTATATATAACCTATGTTATTATTCTATGTACTGTATCTTATACAAAGTATTTATATAACTTTAACATAAGCTTATATAGCTTTAGTAAGTTCTAGATAATTTTAATTAATTCTACTTATAAACTTATATTTTTATATAGTTCTTAGTAATTATAAGTAACTAAGTAGTAGTTTTATTACTTTATGTAAGGCTAAGTAAGTTAAGGCTACTTATATAAAGGTAGACTTTCTTATATAGATCTAGAGGCTTAAGCCTAAGTATATAAATTACCTTAGTAAGATATATCTATAGTAGATAAGCTTTAGTTTACTAGTTATAGCAAGTTTTTATATACTTTAACTTTTTTTCTATATATTTGCTTTGTAGTCTATAAGTATTTATAATTTACTTAATATTTAAATATAGTCTAATAGTAGTACTTAGAGTTTAACTTAGTCTATATATAGCTATATATATTTTAGCTATTTTAATATATACTTTATTAAAGAGTAAATAAGATTATATATAATATAAATAGCTTTCTAATATTATATAAGACTAAAGGGTAATCCTAGCTAGTTATTTATAAGAAAGTATAAAGTTTAGTAAATAAAATTACTTTCTAATAGGCCTAAATACCTCTATATACACTTATAAAAAGGTTTAAGCTTATCTAGATCTTTATATTTATAAGTCTTTAAGTACTATAAGTATATAAAGTAGTTAAGACTTATATAATATAAGAACTATAAAGAAGAAAAGACTATAACTACTATTAGTAATATAGAATTCTATATTAATTAGCCTATAGCCTAGACTAATGTTATAACCTAATAAGTTACAGGCTATATTACCCTACCTAACAAACAGATAGTAAGTAGTAGTAGTATTTATATAGACAAGAAATAAAGAACAGATAGATAACTCCTTAAAACAAAAGAACTATAGTATAAGTTATATAAAAATAAGAAAGTAATTATAAAATAAAGTAATTACTAGTAATTATAAAAGTAAGTGCTTACTAGTATTTACTAAGTGCTTATTTTATATAAAGATAGTAATTACTTATAACTATTAGTTAAAGAGACTATTTAGGGAATAATTAGGACTTATATATAAAATAGACTTAGATATATTAAGAATAGACTTTTATAGCTTTTTAGTAATTAACTTATAATATATTCTTTAAATACTTTTTAGTATCTAACCTTAGTAAATTTATTTAATAAAAAGCTATATAGGCTACTTTATAACCTTAACTATAACTAATTACTAGGTACTTAATAAGATAATAAAAATAATAAATACTATTAACTAAGTACTAACTATTACTTATTATTAGTAAAAACCTTATTATTTAAAAACTAGTTATAATATTTTAATTACTTTTATTAAGTAAGTTAACCTTAATACTTACCTAATAGTATTTTATAATATTTATACTTAAGATAACTTTAACTTCTTTTAGCTTTAAAAAGAACCTAACTACCTTAGCTAGAAACCTAAATAAGTAAATAAAAGATACTAAA